TTCCTTCCTTCCTTCCTTCCTTCCTTCCTTCCTTCCTTCCTTCCTTCCTTCCTTCTTTCCTTACATACTTACGTTCTTAGTTTTGTCCCCGTCGTTTTAAGCAAGCACAATTCTGAAATTATGCAAAGTGAGCCCAAAAATATGAAATTATGCGATTCTGTTCATTTTAACCAAGAATGATAAAGGACAATAATCAAATATTATTTAAAAAATGGTTCAAATTTTGCTAAATTATGCCGGGTGCATAGAACCAAGGGAACAGAGTTATGGGGTCTCTTTCACTCCTTCGATCCATCTTTTATCTTGGCCTTCCTTTTGCTTCGAAACCGTCGAATTATTGAACTTGACAGTGTAAATTAAACGTGCTTTTATAGTTATAGACTTAGTTAGTACTTCCAAACGGATTACGGATGGTTAGATTCAGATAATATTATCGAATCTGTGTATTTCACAACTACTTCATTGCATTGAAAATTTGATGACTGTTTGATCAATACTAGTGTATATAATTTCGAAAGGGGTCACATTTAAAGGGAATTATTTCGGTCAACCTTAACAACACTTGGAGCAAAATCAACCACTGTATTCGAGAAATGTCAAGTTAAAAAAAAATTCAAATAAAATTGTGAATCGCAAAACTTCACATACATTTGTGCGTTGCCGAAAAATATTACATATATATGTCATTAGCATTGTCTACCAAACCCAGGGAAGATGGCGGCTATCTTAATCGTCTATTCCTGGTGGAGCATAATTTATCTCCTGCCAAGTTTGAATATACCGCTAGGAATTTTGATAAACCTGTGGCATGTTTCTGGGTCGATTTTCAGAGCTTCTTGTTCCACTTTGAGACAGTATCAACCGTTCGATTTTTGTGGATTGTTTCTGCCTTTTGAAAACAACCACAAAAAAACACGCACTCACTCACTCACACTCCCGGACACAGACACACACGCATAGACACGCACACGCACACACACAACACACACGCTCACACACACACACACACACACACACACACACACACACACACACACACACACCCACACACGCACACATAGATAGACAACGCAAACACAAAGATGTCAGGCAGTAGATCTAGATTTATTCAGAAGTCCACGGCTGGTAACGTGTTCAGGTTACAAGACACATATGAAGAGCTTAGCTGTAATAGCAAGATACAGAGAAGCCTCCCATGGCTACGTCACATTTTTGTTGGCCATAACGGCTCTTACAGTCGCTGTACCAGTCGTTGAATTTGCTGTTACAGCTGGAGAATGACATAGCACTGGCAGCGGCGATCAGAGCCAGGACGACGAGAACGACAAAGACGGTGTTGTTCATCTTGATTGATTGGTGTTGAGTTGAACACTGGAAAAAGCAAAGATAAAAAAAACTACAATAAGAAAGTATAAACGGTTTCACTCCTATTAATGGATACTGGGAAATTTGCTTACAGTAAAAACATACACGATTAAAGCATTATGAAATTATGCCATATTATGTGTCACGACGCGGTGGAATCAGGCTCTCGTCAATCTTTGGGCATGTAGAGTTATTGGTATCATCTTATAGCCTGTCCATTTGTCTTGCTTTGAATGGAAAAAAATCTGTCAAATAGAAGTCGAGATATTTGCAAATGAAGGAGGTGGGGGTCGCCTGGTTTCAGAGGTAAAAGTAGTGAGAAAATGGCCGCCAAAGATGAGTTATTTCCTCAGCTTGAGTGTCCGTGGAAACTGAAAATTTACATTTTTTGTGCCTTTAATCAGCGTTTTTCAGTAAAAATCCTCCCAGAAATGTGTTCTATAAATGGGCATGAAAAGTACTGAGTCAAAAAAAAAAATTCGACTAATATCTACGGACTTGAGGAGAAATGCCAGTTTCTTCACTTTCATTATTTTGGTTAGTGCCTGATTTCACCACACTGCCTCACATATTTGACAATCAAATGCAGATATAAAAATATACCGTTTGTCATATTTTTTTAATGCCTCAAATGCCGTTTAGAAGTGCTGCAGTCTAACCATTAGACATGAGACGAGTATACCAGAAAGGAAGTAAAAAGCTGGCAATTTTACAGTATTGTAAGCGCTTTCCAACCCTTTTTAGACTCAAATAAATCATTCTGAACTTGTGGAAATAGTACAGCAATTTCTTCTTTGATGAAACTTGTTTATAATCGAACATTTTCTTCTGCCTTCAAATCTGTGAATAGAAGCGAAGGGAACCTCTTGTGCTATTAAACTTGATAAAGTAGAAAATGGAATCTTCTTTTCTTTCAAACTTATCAGTAGTAGAAAGTGAAATTTTATTTTCCGCCCAACGTATAGATAAAA